CGCTAGGATGTTTCTTGCACAAGCCCCTTTGGCCTGGATGGTTTGCTTCCCTGCTGGAGATCATCTCTTGGGCTAGTTTTGGTCCAGGAGACAGCAGCATCTTGCTCTGCTCACTCTGTGCTGTGCCTGAAGGACTTCGTAGCGAGTCAGTCCTGCTGTCTATGGCACAGCCAGCCTGCAAGCCAGAGAAATGGAAGTGTCACTGTGACATTTGTTAGTGGATCTGGGCTAACAGTCGTCCAGGGAGAGAAGGAAAGAACAGGATGCCCTGCAAAAACTTTTGCATAACTGATTACCATTGACTTGTACAACCTAGGTAATCAGTTTCTTTAGAACGAATTGTATTCCTGTATTACTGTGGGTTTATATGGATCATATTGCTGAACGGTTAAACCATATTTAACCGTAAGTTAAAATAAAAAATATAACCCATTGGCTAAAAGTTACCAAGTCTGCAGTGCATTGCTCCTTAATTGTGAGAAAAGGAATAAATATACTTTAAGTGTGCTTTCTGTTAAAAGGTATTCTATGTATGTATTCAACTTCTGTTGTCTAACAGGATAGATTTATTGTAGGCTGAAAGTCTGGCTGTCTGGCTTTTTCAGACTAATTCACCTTGCTGTTTATTTGAGCTGATTTGATTACAAGGGTTACATTCCAAATACATCTGGGTAAGGATGCAGTGAAATGTAGGAGCTTCTTTTTGTGTTTCTATAAATCCCATAATAAACCAAAGATGAATGATTTCTAAATAATGGAGATAACATGTTCTTAATGTAAGAATAACAAAGACTGTAACTGGACAATATGGCATTTGCAATATACAGTGTAGTATTTAATTTATTTACAATGTAGTATTAAATTTTTCTTCCCCCCCCCCTCTTCAAGTCATCATCACTTTGTATGGCCGGTGTTCACGCAGGCGTTGTGTCAAATACTCTGGGTGGCCAAATTAATGTCGTAATCAGCAAGGGCATTCCGTACTATGAAGGCTCCCTGGCTAACAATGTCACCTCAAAAGTGTAAGTGTACTTTTGATGTTCTCCTTCTCTTTAGCACCTTAGATCTTGGTAGCGTCTCATCACAGGATTAATGTCAGCTAGTAAAGCCATATGTTCCATGGACAGGTTCTCTTCTGTAAGGTTCTCACGATGCTTTTTTGCTAGTGTGATTGTTTTACCAGATATTTTTTACCTCTAGACCGTAAAGATTAATTCTGCAAGGAGGTTGCATCTTCCAAAATGCATGGCGTAACCTTAAATTCCTAATGATCTGTGGGAAAATAATAATTTAATGGCAACTTTTTAGTTGCAAGGAAAAGAATGTAACTTGTCATTTTATCTTAGGAGTCCAAGGAATTAAAGTAATTGGAGATTGATTCTTGTTATTATGATTAGCTTAATTTAAATAGGAAGCATTTTAATGAAGTCTTGCATTTTGCTGAGCAGCTCTTTGAAAGCCTTTGACTCGGGTAATTAAAAAAAGGATAGAAAAGGTTTTTGTACTGAAAGCACTGCAACTCTGACAGGAACTGTTAACTTTAATCGTGAAGCGCTTGTTTAGGCATATGTGTATAGGTTTCAGTGGCAAGCAGTCAGACAAGAAAAATAAATTGAAGACAGTTTGTTTCAGTTTTCCTCGCTGACTACCACAAAAACCATCTTCTTTTGTTCTCTGCAGGGGGCCATTATCTACAAGTCTCTTCACATTTAAGACAAGCGGTAAGCATTATCACGTGTATTAAGTGTTGATATTTTCATACAAAGTTTGTGAGTAGAAATAAGTGTGCAAGTATTTTATTTCTTAATTTTTGTTATAGTTAGACTTTTTACTCAGTAACTTATATTTTTGAATTTACTAGCTCATTTTCATGATTAACAATCACTACATTTTTAGATACAGTCATGTATAAAGTAAGCCTTGCTTATCTGCAGAAAGAGATACTTTCAGGTTATGTTCCTCTGTTACAGTCTGGTTTGAAGTGACTTGACTCCCATACTTTAACTGCACTGCTAAATCAGAGTTGGGCACTTAAGAGTTGCTCTTTATTTGTACCAGCTGTGCATTCTAGTTTTTTTTCCAGGTCCAGGTTTACTCCTTACACTTTCCTTGTTGCCTGCTAAGAAAGCTGGCAGAAATCCCAAAATAATTCCTCAGTTTTCTCCACCCTGTTTTACTTTTTTCCTCCCGTATTCTTGCAACTGAATGCTATGTGATAAATTACTTGCCTCTGTTACTCTGGAAAGGCATCTCTTTGGCCTTGCTCTGCGTGTAAGTTGTGTTCCTGCTTGGCTGCTGTGTTTTGTTTCGTAAATGTGTACCAGGTTGCTGATTGGTATAACAAGTGTTTCCACTTCTTAAAGCTTTACTTCTTTGCATGTTTTTACTTTCTACCAATTACCTGTTTTACAAATAAATTAGCTGTAGTTTTCTAAATGGAAGCTAGCTTTTCTGTAAGTCACTTTGAATGCCATCTTTGAGTGGATGTTGGAAGTATTGTGAAGACAGTGTCCTTTCCTTAGTCTCTTCTAACTGTTTTAATAACAATATAAAAAAACAAAACCCAAACCTAACAAAACCATTATGTCTGTTTTCCGTGAGGATAAATTCAAAAACAAAATAAAAAGGGGAGAAATCATACTCATACTCCTCAAAAGTAAACAAATACTTTTCCTATTACATAAGTAAAAGTGATGCTGAATGGAATATCTCCATTCAGCATCAAAGGTAGGAATCTGACGGGCAGGAGTGTTTGGAGATGGAAATGTATACAAACAAGCAAGAATTAGAAAATACAGTCCACATAATATTAAAATAATTTCTCTCCCAGACCTCTGCAAGAGCTGGAAGAAGGAACTGCATGTCTGGTGACCTTATGCATGCAGACTATTAAATACAGTGATCGAGACAGGGTTTGTTTGGGGTTTTTTGTCTTTCAACATGTGATCTGATAGTGTATATGAAAGTAATTATGTGGTGTGGAAATATGAAGAGATAGGACAAAATGCTGATCTATGGATTTCAGTGACACATTTGAGAAATTACTGAATAAGCTAGAGATAAGATGTAGGTCTAGATTAAAATGTATGTAGTTGGGTGCCCTAGGAGTTAGCTGAAGGAAAAAAGAGGGCTCTGTAGTATGCTCAAATGAGTTTTATCTGACTGTGGTGAAGTTACAAGTGTGTTTTTTCCATAATAGTTGGTTTCATGACTTGGTACAAAATGAGGAGTGTATTCTTAATGTTAGAGGCATGGTCAGCGCAGAGGAAGGTGTAACTATTTGTAAGGGAAGACCTGGCTGACTTTGAAACTTGAGTAATAGGAATTAATTGAAGAATCACAGAGCAAAAAAGCTTTTCTTCCAGTGCTCTGTGTGGGCCGTGATTGAGAGAATATCCACATTACTGTTGAGCCAGCATAAATCATGTAATACTCAAGACCACAAGTTTGGTCCCAGCATCGCTTTTAGAAAGCAGAAGACAGTAGTTTTTGTTGGTAGTGGTGTTATGGAATAAATTTAGATGGCAGTTTAATATTTGCCTGTAAAATTTTAAACAAGTAGGTAAAATAATTGTGTAACTTGAATTTTCATTTTGAATCTTCACCTTTTCTGTTGCTCAGGTTGCTATGGGACACTGGGGATGGAATCTGGGGTAATCCCTGATTCCCAGATCACGGCATCATCTATTCTTGAGTGGTCTGACCAAACAGGACAAGTGAACATTTGGAAACCTGAAAATGCCAGACTAAAAAGGGTTGGTCCTCCTTGGGCTGCATTTATCAGTGATGACCATCAGTGGTTGCAGATTGACTTGAATAAAGAAAAGAGAATAACGGGTAAGTGAATCTGATGTGGCTTTTAAGCAGCATTCAAGAAGTTTGGTTACCGACATCCTTTCCTCCAGTGCTTGGTCTTAGATAAAGTCCAGGTAACGTTTAATTACTGTTACAGCAAAATTGGCTCCATGTCCTAGCTAATACACTGAGGAGTCTGGAGTTAGAGTTGTACAGGTGGAGCTTCATGGTAGAAATCACCTCTTCCATCAGAATTTGTTGAAGTGTTTCCTGTGGTTTTACTGGATCCTTGAGGCTTCCCCTTTCCTGCTGTTTGTCTCCTTGGAGGTGCAAATCCATATCCTGTCGGTTTGGTCCTGGTACCTCTGCATATGTACTGACTTAAGTTTCTAGGTTGTTCCCTACTGCCTGTTGTGTCTGTAATGAATCCAACAACGGAGACAGGAACAGCTGCAGCGCGGTGTGAGATAAGCAGCAGACAGAGTAAACCAGTTGGCAGCCTCCCCTTCACCTCCTTGCCTGAAGTGGAATTTCAGCCGAGAGTCGGGGATGGTGGGCTCCTCAGCAGTCTGTTGCACTTTCCCTCAGCAGACAGACCCAACAGTGCAGCCCGATGCAGCCAGAGTCTGGGTTAGGCTCCGTTCCTTCACAGAGATTGTGATGGACCATCTGTCTTGATTTTAGTAGCTGTGTTTATTTGGAGAGACAGCTGGAGGTGCCGATTCCCAATCCGCTCTGGATGGTTTGCTTCACATTTTGGGAGTTGAGTGAGTGAGGTCATGGTTACCTGTGTCTGGTAGTGAAGCACGGAGGCATTTTGGGGTTAACCTCAGGGGTAGCCTAAGAAGTAGCAGTGCTGACATTAGTGTTTTCTATTTTGATTTAATTGATCAGAGGTGATTCGCTGTTCTTAATTGGCATGTTTGCAATCTGACTTAAATCAAAAATCAGGTAGCTTTAAGTCGAGTGCTTCACAGGGTCCCGGGCTTTAAGACTATTGTGAAACATCTTCCTTTGATCAGTTTGGGTTTGTGTGTCTCTTAAATGCATGAGTTGGTCTCTGTAAACTCAGCTGCACACACTGCTATTAGCAGCTCGGTTTCCTGTCATTAAGCAACTCGGGTTTACCAGCAGCCTTTGTTATTACCTCCCTGGGGGCTATTTGGATTTTACATTACTCCTCGAATTCCTGTGCTAATAAGCTTTCAGAAAACCGCTTTCCTATGTGAGTCGTTCTGCAGCGCTGCAGTGTCAGCTTTAGGAAGCTACAGTTCTTTCAGTGGGGTTTTCAGGTTGGCAGTACAAAAGCAGGGAAGCGTGGTGCTGTCTCCGCAACTGGAGACACGAGAGGGCCACGGTCAAATGAACAGGCTATTTCCATCAAGAAATGGGGGGAGAGTGCTTAGCAAGGTTATATATTAATTAATATATTATGTGTGTACATATAATTAATAAACTTATATATAATTAATTAAACATAAAAGTAAGTAAAATGATTACAAAGTTTCAGTCACTGTAGAAGCATCAGACCCTGGCACCATGGATAAATTTTTTAAAATGTAACTGGACCAGTGGAGATTCCAACTACACAACTCTGGAAATCTGATCTGTTAATTTTTACAAACTGTTACCAGTTTTTTGTCTAACTGGGCACCTTCATTTTCACAGGTATCATAACTACTGGATCAACCTTAGCAGAATACTACTATTACGTTTCAGCCTACAGAATTTTATACAGTGATGATGCACAGAAATGGACAGTATACAGAGAACCCGGCACAGATAAAGATAAGGTAAAAATACCACACAGTTTCTAGGTATGTCTATGGAGATTTCACAATTGTAAATGCAACTAATTTTGGTATGGTGAGGAAGCATTAAACAACTTTCCTTTTCAGTGTAATTCTGAATCATAAACAGCATCTATGTGGAAGAAAGTATGAAAATATGCAAACATGTAAGGAATTGAACAGTTCTGAAATTCACAGATTATGTTTATTACTATTTGGGGATGGGAATATTCTATACAAGAAACTTCCATTGCCAGTGGTAGGCCGTCTGGAACGGCGTATAATCAGATTTCTTTCAAATTTCTTTCAAAATAGGTTGTATGTTTCAGAATTGAGGGTGTTTTTTTTTTTTTTTTCTTATCCTCTTGTGGTTACAGAATAAATGTTTGGGGTTGTATAATTTTCCATCTTTTATAATGTTTCTGTGAATCATACTGTGACAAAATACTGGTGAGTTTCTTTCCTGTATGATAGAACAGCCCTTGCAGAGGGGAGTTTTCTTAAGAAATGAAATGGTATGTTCAGATTGCAAATGCTTTGCTGCACAGAAAAGTCATCTAATGTTAGCAGCAAGATAATCTTATTTTCCCTGTGTTTACAGTTTTGCAGTATTGAATAGACAGTAAAAATGAGAAGATTAATGTCCTACCTGGTCTTCCCAGTGGTTCAGATCAGATTTTCTTAAACAAATGAGAGGATTCTTGGTAACCTGACTGGAACTAGAATGTCCTTCCTTTTCTTAAAATTCTTGGATGTAATTTACCTTACTTCCATAGGCCTGTGGTATTACATACATGTAATAATAACTAGTAACCCAGTAACTTTTTAGAATGGGTCTTAAGAATGGTAACTCTTTAGCTGTACTTGGTTTTCTTCTGTTTACTGCAGGTTAAGAATGTCAAGGTAGGATGTAGCATCCTGTTGGTTAAGTGAAAGGTTGAGGTATCTTGTTTGTTACATTAAGAGGTTTTTTTGAACACTGAACATAATTACAGTAGGAAACTTTCCTGAAAGGAGAAGACTTTACTGTTAGGACTGGTCCATCTCCTTGAACCTACACGTGAACTAACAGGTTGTTAGTATGAAGCGTTCAAGGAAAAAAAAAAAAAAAATCCAGCATCTTTTTCTAGTTTTTGAGTGCCCTCTCCTGGCCGTAAAATAAAATCTCAGCTAGAGAGCTGCCTAGATTTAGGCTTCATGTTTAGTTTCGTAATTTTTTTAGAAAACTTTTGTGGCTATTGCCTTTCAATTTGAGAATATCGTTTTTCTTGCAAGTTCATGAAATGAAACAAATTGTGGAGCTTGAATTTACAGGCAACAGATTTTTTTTGCACTCTTTGTATCATTAGGTACAACGCACGAAGAACCAGCCGTATCCAGGAAGTGCCGGCTGTAGTTAAATGACAGAAATAAGGGTTCAATATGCTTGATCTCTTAGGCTTCAAAATAGCAGATTCTTCCTCTGGCTGACATCATCTCAGTTGCTACAGCTTTGCTTTTGGATGTGTACGTGTGCAGGCATCTCCCTTTGAGCCTTACATAATTACATACTAGGCAAACCTGGAGGTGCTACTCCGTTTTTTTGAAAAATGTTTGAAATTCCTAACGTTGTTCTGTTCAGGAGACTAGAAGCTTTTCCAAAGCTTTCCTGTGGTCCTGTTTGCCGATAGCTTCTAGAGATCTGTCAGCACTTAAGAAAAGCTTATCTTAAAATTTTTATCTATGAAAAAAGAATAAAATGCTTGAGTTGGGGAAAAATGACAGATCAAAGCTGCAGTGCTGGAAAAGTTGTTTGACAGTACAGAGGCAAATGGAGAGAGTTTGATAACAAATTGAATATGAACGTTCTCATCAAAAAACTTGCATTGTATTGATCTCGGAAGCGATTTTTTTTTGTGTGTGCAAAAAATTAACTGAACAAAAAATACTGAGCTGCAGATGAGCTGCAGTTACTATCGTAACACTTGACATCAAAAGCTTGACTATTAAAAGCCTGGAGCAAAGAACTACTGTTAATCTTTCTTCAAGGTAACAGTCAAGGTTAATGATTCTTGTTGCCTTTGCTGTCACATGCTCAGCTTCAGAAACCTGAAATGAGACTAACTTACAGTGCTGGGCATCTGTTTTCCTAATCTGTAACTCCTGCATTTGTTGCTCAGCTAGCCAGGTGTGGCTTGCACCTTCTTGTAGTACTGGGCACTGGCATGGCACAGTGCAAACAAGGGTACAGTACCCCAGTTCGGGCTGGGTGCATCCCCTCAAAGAGTTACCCCCGTATTTTGCTTCTCATTTGCATCTTCACCAAAACAAGTAATTCTCTGGTGAGTTCTGTAGCTATGAGCCTGTCAGCTTTAAAAAAAAAAAAAAAAAAAAAAAAATTTGCCCTAGTTTAGGGGAAAAGTGGCTGTAAATTGGAACCTGGTCTTCTGTGTTCTTGCTGTGTGTCATTAGATTGTGAATACTTGGACACACAAACTGTGACTGCTTTGTATTATTTAATTTATTTTGAAAATAACACCATAGACTTGCCCCTGCCTTTAATCTGTCTTCATTCATTGCTAGTAAATATATTTAAGAACAATAAGCTTAAATTCAAAGCAGGACAAATACCACCGAGAGCCATGTGCTTGTAAATCTGCTCTGCAGTGCGTTGGGGAAGAACAGACACTACACTTTCAAGACAAACACCTTGTGTTTGCTTACCTAGATTATTAGTGTCATGAATGGGTTAACAGTTAGTTTGTGTTACTTGGGTACATAAAAATGAAAATGCTCGTTACTAACTTAATACGTAGAAGAAACTATACACTTAAACATGAAGTACTGCATTTTAGTTACCAAATTATTTATTTTTCCATGCCTGACTAAATTATGTGTCTATTTGATCGGTCAGTGCTTTCAAACGTGAAGACAATTAATGCCTATGTAGGGACAAACCAAAATTCTTATGTGTAAGTGACAGTAATGGGGATTGTATGTCTTTTGAGAGCGGAGACACGTTAGGTATGTCAGGGAGCCCAGGTGTGAGTCCCTTAAAGATCTCTGAGGTTGTTTGGGGCGGGTTTTTTTGGCTTTTGAATGGATAGTTTCCTGGAATAATTGTTTTCCTTGAAATCTGTAGGGATATTCTAGTCTTTTTGTTACAAAAACTTTAACACAGGAGTACAATACAAAATTCTCTATCTATCTAGTGTGTCAAGGTTGAAACACGTGCGATCTGCATTGATCAGAAGTGTGCTAAAAACTCCACTGCTCCATTTTATGCAGTGGCTCCCTATGAGATTCTGAAGAGAGCGCTCGCATTCTGAACCTGAATCCTTTTATTTTGCCTGTGGTTCAGCCCTTGTAGACACAACCACTAGAGGACAGTGTGATTACGTATTTGACTGTGCCTCTTAATGCTTTCTAATAAATGCCATACCCACAGGACAGACTATGCTTAAACTATTAGGCTGTGTGAAGGCACCGTGTCATTCCTGCTTGCACATTGTCACAACTGCTTGACATATATATAAATATATATATTTGAAGAGTAAGTGCAAAATACCAAAAAGCACTGAGTTAGAATTATTCAATGCCATAAACATGCGAGATGTCTTTAGCAGCAGGCATTGCCTGGGGAGCGTCAGTAGGGCATCACACGGTATCTTTATTCTGAAGTTAGCGGTTGCGTGCATACACGTACACTCCGCCCCCCCCTTCATTTTATTTAGCTATATATTTAATAGGCCTGAGTGAGTGGAGATGTGCAGGCAGCAGCACCATTCTGGGGTGAATTTTCAGTATTCTACACCGCTTATTTTTCCTAAATAAAACATAAAAATTGGTTGTAGTTACTCAGTTGGTATTGCATTTGTGTAATATAATGTTTGTCTCTTCTTTTTTTTCTTTTCTAGATATTTCAAGGGAACACTGAATTGTACCAGGAAGTTCGCAATAATTTCATTCCGCCTATTATTGCACGCTTTTTTAGGATTAACCCCTTAAAATGGCACCAGAAAATTGCGATGAAAGTAGAATTGCTAGGATGTCAGTTTAGTATAGGTAAGGCAACTGAAAACCGTTCAACTGTGCAAGACAAGCAATGAAATAATTTGGCAAAGATTACATTGCGGGTATATTTTCAATGAGAAAAAATACCTCTTAGCTGCATAATCCTTCTGTAACTGGTAAGTGTGAATACCTCTGAATGTCTTCCAAAGTTATTACACTTATCCTGGAAAATACCCAAGTTTAGGCGTAAACAAGGTAATTTAGAAAATACACCAGTCACTTGCTTTCCATGTTATTGATTCATGGGGTTTTTTTTCCTCATTATATAACATGGAAAAAAAACTTCAGAGCAAACTGTTCCAGCTGTCTTCTCCTGAAAAGGAAACGTGAAAAACTAGCACTTCAAAAAAACTTTTTAAAAATTCTTTTTTTCTAAAGGCCGTGCTCCTAAAATCACCATGCCACCACCACCTCAGAACAAGAATGATGACAAGAATAATGACTTCAGTGATGACTTCATTCATTCAGTGAAGACTTCATTGCAGACAGATAAAACAACTTTTACACCTGAAATAAAAAACACCACAGTGACTCCAAGCGTAACCAAAGGTACCCACCGTTAAGCAGTAGATGGATTTGGGAACTCCTTACAGTACTTTGGCATATATTAAGTGTGCTTTCTGAATTTAAATTTTCTCCACACTTAACAGAGTGCAGCAATACCAACCTTTTCTTTTTAATATTTACCAGTTATTACATATACATATGATAAAAATGTCCAGTTGCATACTGCATGCAGAAACAAAATCAATCTTCCCAGTCATACATACATTAAGTTCTGTCTTTCAAAACTTGTTCAAACTGAGTTCAGCTTTTAATTACTGAACAAATTTTGTCAGAAGGAGAAGTTGTGACCTGGACTTCCCTTCAGAATTAATCAGATATAACTGCTTTGTTGTTTAATGTGATAATGTCTGAGGACAAAACACTTTCAACATAGCTTATCTTTTATGGAGCAGTCAGGTTGGCACAAAATTCGCAAAACATCATCTGTCAACATCGTTTTGTTTATCAAAGAAAACTGTCAGAAAAGGGAGCCAGATCACTGCAGATGCAGGCATTGGTGAGGTGTCCTTCGGATGGCAAAGGACAGGATGGGCTCATGTCACAGGCAGACCCAGCGTAGGCTAATTGTGATTAACGGTTAAGGTACTGTGGTATTTACTTCTTATAGGAGGTTCAAACTTAAGTGGTTGCATGTTCCTGGGCTCTTTTGATTTTCCTTCTTAATAATAAAATCTATTGTTCTAACAGAAAAATCTTACTTACATTAGAACACGTTTGTTGGTTTCGTTGAAAAAACTTGCAAAAATACCAGCTGTGCATATATGTAGAAGAGCTAGATGTTAATTGACAGTGACACTGTGGGAGCATCCAGCAGGGTAGCTTAGCTGGGGGATCTGGTATGATAGACGCTATACGTAAAAACTGTGTGTTTTACCCAAGTAATTTTCAAATTAAAAATGGATTTATGAACAGCTCTTCTGTCTGACACCACTTAATTTAATGGCTTTCAGATGTGGCATTGGCAGCAGTTCTGGTTCCAGTGCTGGTGATGGTCTTCACTACTCTGATTCTTATCTTAGTTTGTGCGTGGCATTGGAGAAACCGGTAAATGAATAGATTAATGAAAGTACTTTAAATAACTGTTAGCCTGGTGTGTGGGAATGAAATGCTGCATGTATCGCTATGGGAACTACGTGGTCTACACTTGTGGAAGGATTTTTCCTCCAAATTGTATTCTCTGTGAGAAAATGTTCACTTGAATAGCGAGGACAGCAAAAGCAGCTTTTTGTAACTATTTTCATTAGAAGTGCTTTTACTGAAAACTGGTTTCTCCAGTAGCAGCAGACTGGTGATGGCAAGCCAGGTTACTGGTGCTTATACTTTAAATTTGAGAACCAGTTACAGCCAAGGTGATAGTTGCTGAGCATTAATTAATGCATCATCTTATGAGCGGACTAGCTCAAATACCCCCTTCTTTTTTCCACAGCAAGAAAAAAAGCGAGGGCACTTATGATCTACCTTATTGGGATCGTGCAGGTAACAAAATGGTTTTATGAAGTCCTTTACTTGGCACTTTTGGTTTGATGGCTATATTTCAGATTGCAGTAACACAGACAATTTCTGCTAGCGCAAGCTTCTCTGATGCTAACTGATGTAGGCGTACCGACCACTGAATTTCTTTTCTGGACAGACTTAACTGCCTCATTCTCTGATATTTTTTTTCAGAAATAGAAAATGCCTTGTCTCCTGTTAGAGCTTACAGCTTCGGAATTTTTTTAGTAGACAAAGTTGAGAACCTCTTACTTATACAACATGAGGGGAAAAATAATTTATGAAGAATGTCCTTATACATTTGATGATCATATATTTGTTACTTTTTTTTTTTGTCCTGAAAAAAAAATATATTACATCTTGGTGTATAAGGTCTGTCAACTTTTGCCTTTCTTCATTGCCCTAGTAAGCATATGGGATTGTCTGCAGCCCCTTTTAGGCATATTTTCTATCCTACTGTCTTGTGCCCCATTAAGTTGGGATCAGACGATTCCACCAAGTGGCACTTAGCAAGTGTCCTGAAAATGCTTGTGCTACAGCATAAAGGGCTGCTGCAGCAGCTGGGTTTGTACTGTCTGTATGACTCTGCTTCACTTCTCTGTCCTCATGTTGAAAACTTCCACATCGGTGTGTTTGCTCACTGGCAGTTTTCAGTATGCCCGACCCTTTAGACAAAAAACCTTTTAATGACCTTATTTTTATTTATTGCGTGTCCATTTCTGATAGGTCACAGCGATGTTGTCATAGAATATTAGACTCAAAATGGGAAGCGAACCTAACAAAACCTGTTCTTCCTACCTTCTCTCAAGAAAATGTTCATGACCGCAGTCACTCCTTTTCATTTCCACTGAAGTTAAAGTCCCCTTTGTTCAGGTTTTTGCAAATATTCACTGATCAACCTTTTTCAACACTGTGAGTTAGAAACATGACATTAGCAGCCTGAAACCATGTTAATTAAATTTACTCTCAGGTTATATCTGACCTTGTCTAAAATTTTGTGTAAATATTTGATTTACAAATTGGAATCATGGCTGACTTTTTACTATTTTCTGTGTTCTGTGAGTTTATTAATGTGATGAGGAGCGCCCCCACTGCTGCTAATGAGCATTCAGGGATAGATTCACTAGACTGCAGCAGTTCTGCAGGCATTTGAAGGGGGAGCACTCGGGCAAGCTGGGTGGGTGAGAGTAATGTTGTCATCGCTGAATCTTCAGTCTGCCAGAAAATGTTAACGTATTTGGTAACTTTAGGGTCATGCAAATACTGATAATGGATTGGTTTACCTGCTACTACAAAACATGAGATGTGGTGTAAAACATACAGTATATGCAGTCTTGGGTGTTTTTTTTTTTAAAATCCACGTGTAGGATGGTGGAAAGGAATGAAGCAGTTTCTCCCGACCAAATCAGCAGAACATGAAGAAACTCCTGTACGCTACAGCAGCAGTGAAATTAGTCACCTAAGACCAAGAGAAGTCCCAACAATGCTGCAAACAGAGTCTGCAGGTACGTTTTACTGGTTTTGTGGGCCATGTAATATATGTATATGACATGCCAAAAAAGTCAGGGATTTGGCTACATTTAATTACAGAGGAGAAATTAATAGTTCTGTTGGTAAAGGCATTTCTTAAAATGCAGGCTTTTTCAAATCTGTGCTCGGAGTATCATAAAAGTATGTATTAAGTGACTTGTGCTGTGGATAGACACTTTCCCAAGTTAATGCAGTCACTGAAAGTTTCATTACTTGTACTTATTCTTAAACCCCATAAAGGGTTGAAGGGTTTTTTTCGTTATGTTTTCATGCACTGGAAATAATCTCACCCCATTATCTTTATGCAAAATCTGAAATG